CCCCAAAACCCCAAAACCCCTTGATGCCATAATTTTGAAAATAAATAAAAATGTGGCAATTAATTAAATTTAAATTTATTCATAAATAAAATGATGAGTGGTTACGTAGAAGAAGCGGAATATGCTAAACCAATAATGCCTAAGAGTAAAAATGCTTTTAGGTCAAAGTATAAGAAGATGGCTTCGCAGGGTTAGAATGAAGTAGAAGAGATACCTTCAAAAAAAAGAAGGATTTCCAAACTATACGATAGAAACGGATAAATAAAAATACATGACTTTGCAAATAATCTAAAGTAGTAGGACCATCCAGAGGAAGAAGAACAGCCTGATTAAACTAACTAGGAAATTAAAACTCCATCTGAATATTTGGATGCAATAACAACAAGCATTGATTGCCAAACAGATTTAGGGCTATATTAGATTGATAAATCTATAAGTAACCAGAAAATGAGTCTGGTCGGAATTAAAATACTGAGCGAGACTTTATAACGGGCGTATGGGCACAATAAATATCTTATTAGATGCTATCATAAACAAAACAAGATTTTTGAAATGCCTCTTCGTAAATTATTATCACAGGATAACACTTATTTATAGCTGAAGCACCTAAATTCATTGACTGTATGAGAGCAGCTTTCGCCTACGTTTTTGAAAATAAATATGATACTATTTATGCATTTGATTTGTCTCCTAAATTGTAGTCACCAGAAGGCTAACTCATGTAAGCACCTCTTATAATTAAACATACATTGTTCTCATCAGAGATTAACTCCCAAAGTAAGATCATTAGTACTTTAAATTTTTTTGCTTAGTGGTCACATTTAAGTTGGGCTTATTTAGTGATGACAATTATAAAGCAGTTTTTCTGACGAAAAAAGATATATACTATGTCCCAATCAGCTTTAATGAAATTATAATGAAATCTAAGTAGTATGGAAATAAAAGATTGAAAATTGAAAAAACTACTTAGATTTTTTCATTTGAGCTTCGAAAGAATAGTTACAGCGACGATGATTATAACAACTAAGAGGAATAAGACAAAGATTCGATCGCTGACAACTAAGATAATAATTCTGGTATGTCTCTCCAAATGTCAGTTAAAGATGACTTCAAATAACCAGGCTCTGAAGATGAAGAAGAACCTAAATTCGACAGTAAATTTGATGCTAACAAAATTGACAGGTTCCTAGACTTTGGAATAAATTACAATTTCAACTCAAATGACAAATATAACAAAAATCCGAATGAAATATTACTCCTTTAGGATGTGAATTAAAGAATACTAGTGCTAAAAGGAAGAGACTATGGATACTAATTCAAACTAATAGATATGATTGAACTTAAAGATTAAACGAAAAAGAATGTTAGATATACTATGCAGATAATTGATGGACTGCTTATTTCCACCTATAAAATACTTTTCCTAGTTAAGATCAACAAGTTTGTTTAGAAAAATGAAAAAAGCGATCCTCCAAAGAAAAAAGAAATTATCAATGTAAGCCCTGATAAAGTTTTCTACAGGCTATAAGTATGGGAAATGCATTAGGATAAAAGGAAGAAACCAATGGTATTCGACATAAATGATACTATTTTCGAAGAAACAAGTTAGAATTGGAGAGAGAAAATAGCATTCGATTACAACAATAATGAGTTTTATATTCCAGATTATAAAGATCAAGAAACTCAACAGTAGCAGGTCTATAGATTCTTAATAAATAACAATACGATAGGAATAGTTGACTCATTTTATCTTAGCATAGAAAATATCTTTGATTATATTGGCCATCATGTATTGATAAATGATGCAAAGGCAAACTAATATATTGAAGGTCTACTTTACACTGACATGATGACCTATGAAAATCTTCTTTTTATAGCGCATAGTAGATTTCTCACGATAATAGACATCAATGATTATAAAAACAAAGCTAATATCTAACATTTAACCCAGAAAAACAGAAACTAATATGGATATTAGCTTTTAAAAGATGAAAAATAAAGAGAAATCCCTTCATTCTATGACTTCACCTACGAAATATTATCTGTGTTCATGCTTGATAAAGATGATGTAGTTGAAATTCAATCTAGATGGAAAGTTTTGTCAGTGTTTGGTGACGGTTAGGTATCCGAGATAATTGAGGATGGACCTATTTAAGACAATAGCAGTTTTAAAATGCAAAAGTATATGTTTGATAATTTTTTGGTAAATGAAGGGTTATAGAAAGTTAAAATACCAGGAAAAATTTTGAAAATCATAAAAGATAATACAAGCACAAGTACTGTCCCTTTCTTTCTAATTTAAAACAATGAATAGCTTAGTATCAACACTTTCGAAATGAGGAAATAGGTGTTAAAATCTTATCATTTCGATTAAACAAATATTGACACAGAATACATAGTTATGGACTCTGTCAAGCCAAATAATGAAGATGTGCTAGTCTTTTCACCTAAAGAGGGTGAATTTTAGCCAGATTGTGAAATTTAAATGCGATATTATAGGCTTTTGAATAAAAGTAATATTTAGATCAATTAATAATTATATTAGAGATTGAGTCTAAATAAGACAAGAAATTTAAGTTGGTTACAAGGGAAGAAGTTCCTCGAGAAATAGAAAATATCAAAACTTTGGTCTCATCATTTTCACAATAAGGTTAAGTTTATATGATTTTTCCAAAAAAGATTCAAAGATATGATAGAGATTAAAATACAATAGAGGAAGTCAGTATAAATGAATGTAAGTTATTAATACACTTTAAATATTATTTCAGAGATAAGCTAACTAAATATTATTCACGGAAAGTATTTTTACTGGAGATAGTATGAAAGAAATGAATTTTATGTTCCAATCTAAAACCATATTTGCTTTGACTCTATCGATCAATTATCTGAAATGAAGTCAAAATCATCTAAGAAAGAGTTGAGATTGTTTGAAAGTGAAAAGCAAATCTACCCACATTTATAAAAGATATACTATGACAGAATAGGAGAATAAGTGGCTACATTTGTAGATTATAATATAATCAAGATATTTCCAATACTTCACAGAAATAGGATTAGACTAAGAAACTCAGGTATTATAACTTTAATTATTATTTTTTAGGGAAAAAAAATTCAAACAACGACTCGCAAGTACATATATTAGCAACATGCATGTTCGAAAATTGCATTTATTCATTGCACTCAGATAACTCTCTTTAATAATGGCACATTTAAACAGCTAAACTGATAAAAAAGAAATAACAGATTCACAAGACAATGGTAATTGGAAAGCAAAACGAGCCAATTGAGCTAGATTTTAGTAAATATTAGTGTAAGATTTTATCAATTAACTTTAAATCAATCTTTAGTTCAATAATTGATTAATCAGAAGTATTTTATGCTGAAAACATAGATATCTCAAATTTAATTGAAAGAGAAACCTAAAGGGATGTTAGATACATATTTGCAAATTAAAAATCAAAAGTCCAATGAATAGAAAAATTAAAATGAATAAAAGAATTCTAATCAATTTAAGCTTCCTCCAATAAGGGCAGCAATTAATACCTATAAAAAAGCTAATGGTCCTAAAACTGAAACCGAATATAACAAGCTCTAAGATTAGTAAGAATCAGTAGAATAACTAGAGGTTGAGGAAGATTATGACATATATAAAGAAAAAAATGATCCAGATTCTGATATTGATATTGAAAATTATGATTAGAATTATGCATCTACAAATACAAAAAGTTTCAAGAAATAAAAAAATGAAAAAAATATGATCTACTCCGATTTCAGCATTGATTGCTAAAGCTAATATCCTATAAAAATGGCGGAATACATTATCATAGAAATATTAGAGAACAGCTCAGAAATCTTTGTTGAGGATTAATTGCCTGAATTAAAGAAAGTAATGTCGGTAGGCTCTTAAAATCACATTGAAAAGTTTAAAATAAAAGTACATAAAAGATTTAATGGTCCTAATTTGGATGCTAACAACAACTTTGGCTTATATCTAAATGAGGACTAAGACATTGCTGCTTTCTACTTTAAGGATATATTCAAAAACTCATTAACCTATTACTACAGATTAATTTCATCTGATGAAAACTCAAATGTCCCGAATGATTCTTTAAGATTTATTAGCAGATAGAAACCCAATGTTCTATTATCAGTGCATTCTTCAGATTTCAAACATTATCTTAGATATAACCAAAATGAATAGCTAGAGGTAACTCCTTTCGATGAAAATAAGTCTGATTTTATAATGACAAAAGAATAAAAAGATCTATATGAGCAAATCAATACCAAGATTAGAGCTATATATAATGTGTCAATGAAAGAAAGAGAGCCATCGTTTGTTTCAAAGAATGAAATCTTGTTTATGAGTTAAGACAATATTCTATTAAGCTATAAAATTTTTGAAGATCAAAGAGGAGGCTCCTCCGCACTGAAGGAAATGTTTAATGTAGCATAATGCAGGTTTCCAGGATCAACTAATATTATACCATTAGATACATTCTATATGATAGACAGTGCGAGTAATAATTTAAAAACAAGCTAATTAATTGGTTAAAATTCCTTACTCTTTGAGAGAGAACCTCATCCTAGAAATCCTGCGAGAACTATAGAGAGAGTTGCTCCTAATTATTTCAACTGGTTCTTCAATCAATCAGCTTGTTTGAAATAAGATCAAGATGATGCTAATGAGATGAAATGCCTATAAATTCATTACAAACAAAAGATAGAAATACAATATAGAATGTATACTGGCTACATATTTAGATCAAAGAATTACTTAGGACCATAAGCTTACTAAACAGACGTCCATATTGTTAATACCTTCAATTTTTACTAATGGAGAGCACTTACATTAATTAAATAGCAAAGACTTCTAATTGAAGATATTTCTTAAGCCTAACTCTAAAACTTGGCATTTGCGCAACTTCATAATGGGAAAACGTTATTGCACATGCTAAGAAATAATCAAGAATCTATTAAGTCTCTATATAGCATAGTTTATGATAAAAATGTTGACCTATAGCCATTCTATGTACCTGTTTTAGAAGATTTCAAAAATAACAATGTATTGCAGTTACTTCTCCTTGAGAAAAAGCCGCCAATTGATCAGAGAAAAGGATTCTGTAGAAAGCTGCAATTTGTTTAATCAGAGTCAATAAAGTCAAAACCTCATAAACAAAAATCAGAACAGAGCGTTAAAGACTAAGTAGCAATGGAAATTTTACGAAGAATAGGTGAATATCCTTTCGATTTATTCAAAATAAAGATGTCAAATGTAATCTACGATCTAATGAGGATAGATATCGTGCAATTCTCTCAATATATGGATTCAAGAAATAAGGTACCAAGTGTATTAACTTAAATATAAATGGCAAGAATATCAAATGACTATATAAGTATAATGACATCTGACAACCTTTGGTGCTAAAACTAGGCTGAAATGAGATACTACATTGAAAATCTAAGTCATGAAATGAGAAGATTAGAGATAAGGGTTTTAGATGTCCCGTATATTCATTTAAGCAAGAATGTTTATAAAGACAGGTACAATATTAATTTAATCTACGAACAGCTTGCAAGAACAGATAATGTTAATGTCTTTTCATACACATCAGTTAGAGCATTAATAGAAATCAAATGGAACTATATCAAACATAGAATCTTCTACTGGCTTTTGCTACCTTATATTCTTCTGTTGATTTTCTTTTCATTCTATACATGCTTTGATTTTATGATTTTCGATACATATATGGATAACGGAAGTGTTTAAGCATCTAGGGCACTAAGAATTTTAGTTATCATCTTCACTTCATATCTAGCTATTCTCGAAATAAGATAAGTGATAATAAGTGGCCTTTAATATTTCTAAAATGGCTGGAATTACATGGATATTGCAATTATTATCTTGATCTACATAGCTGAAGGTTTGCAGGGATCAACGATAGAAGGCAGCGATATATCTGAAAGCGAAAGAAATGATAGAGAAAGAAACACGGCTGCTATAAGAACAATGGAATCTTTTGTAGCTATTTTACTTTGGCTAAGACTACTTTATTTCTTCAGAATTTTCCGTACTACTGGGTACTATATCCGTATGCTAGTGGAGGTTATTAAGGACATCAAGTACTTCATTTTCATTTTTGCATTAACTATTATTGCTTTTGCCCATGCTTGGTTTGTATTCTTGAAAAATGGGAGTGATAACAGTGGGATGGAGTCATTAAGTATTTCATTAGGTGTAGTATATAGACTTGCCCTAGGAGATTTCAGCATTATTGACGAATTTGGTGATTATAAAATTGAAATAAGTTGGCTATTCTTTGTTATCTCATCATTGATTCTTCAGATTGTGCTCATTAATCTTTTAATTTCTATTGTGTCAGATACATTTGCTAGAATAAAAGCTAACTATAATGTAATTATGTATAAGGATATGCTTCATATGATTATTGAGAATAGATTCTTAGCTGTGGGTGCTTTAGAAAAATCATTAAGAAATAAGTATCTATTTGTAGCTATTCCATTACAAAATGAAAATTAAACGGCAGAGATCGATAAGAAATTAGAAGATTTGATGAGTATGATGAGAGATTAGATGAGAGGTCAACTTGAGATTTAGCAAAGAACCAAAAGTTTTCTTAAAGTTGAAGAAAAGGAAAATAATATTCTAGAGAGACTTGAGAGAATTGACTATAACCAGAAACAGATTCTTCTAAACATGGAGAAAAATCATTGAAAGAAGATAAAACTTAATTATAACCTAAAAAATGAATAATATACTTACATTAATTTCATAACTGCTATTTTTAATCAATGGGGTTTTGGGGTTTTGGGGTTTTGGGG